AGTTCTGTAGATACTGGACAGGATTTCATGAAGTAGGGTTAAAGCAGCTGCAGTTCCATAGATTATGGGAGTAGGCAGGAAGAGGCGGGTTTAGAGGACCTGTGATTCAGTAGATAATGAAAGCAGACAGGAAGGGGTGTGGTTAACAAAGCTGCAGTTCTATAGCTGTTAGGAATGGACAGGAAGAGGCAGGGTTACAGTAACTGCAGTTCTATAGCTGTTAGGAATGGACAGGAAGAGGCAGGGTTACAGTAACTGCAGTTCTATAGCTGTTGAGAGTAAACAGGAAGGGGCCGGGTTGGAGGAACCGCAGCACAGAAGATCACAGTGGGTTTTGGAAAGGCTGGCTGCTTATGTATAAAGCGGTATTCTGACCTCAAAGTCACAGTCAGTGGTGCAGGTTTTATTTACGGATTGCTGGGAGCTGCTGCTGCAGATGGAAACTCACAATGGAAATGGCATTTTGCTCCTTTTCACATGGATACCTGCTCACACTCCCCCTTTCACTGAAGTGGGCTTCCAGGCTTCCCCCCCCCCTCCCTCACACACAGACAGACTGGGAAGCGTGTGAGCAGGACGGTGGCTGCATGCGGCTCTGTGACCATTCAAGGGTCCCCTGGCTTAACTTCCGCTCACCAGGATACCAATTAAAAGGCCTATGACCTTCCTGCTCCAACTAGAACAGGAGGCGGTGGGGGGGGGGAGGGGGGGGATTAAAAAGAGTGGTAAATCAAGCAGTGTTTCAGTACAGATGTGCCCCCCGCCATGACAGAAAAGTAACATATTCTACAATTAAGAGAGAACAGCAAATGGTAGACACTTAAAGAAATAAAAGAAGAAATTAAAACAGAGGTCAGAGCTGAGGAGGACGATGGCATTCATCATGGTATTTTACTTCATTTTTTTGTTTGTTTTGCCTTTGTTTTCATGTTTTCTGCCGGGCCGCACTCTTTCTATCCCTGCTTCTCACGAGCAACAGCGCTTATCGGTCCTACCTTGGGTTGCCATGGCAACCATCTGGTCCGGGATTTTTTTTTTTTTATGGTCTTCATTCCCATCCTAATATTTATGGAAGCATCGTCAGAAGTGGTTTTGCGGTGACCCCTCGTCAGACGTCGCGGCGACAGCACCGGGGCCGGCTGATGGCCCCCATCAGAACAGGCTGGAATGTTCTGGAAAATGGACACCACAGATCTGGGCTCCCTTCGCCCAGGAACGGCTCACGTGCTTGAGCAGAGAAGTTAACAGATCGCGGACATGGTGTATGCGGGGATTTGGATTGCGGCTGTGTTTCTGTGTGCGTGTGCTGTTGTCACATTGCATAACTGGGCTTCTGCTTTTGTTGAATGAATGTGTGCTTCACTGCAGATTTCAGGATCGGCTCTGCAGGTTTTATTTTTAGCCTCACATGCAATGCAGACTCTCTCTCACTCACTCACTCACTCCCTCCCTCCCTTTCTCTCATCTCTCTCTCTCCCTCACGCATACAACTACTGGCCACTTCTATAGGGCAGGATGAGACTGTAATCAGCCTTTAATTTTCTTTCTCGTTCCATTGCTGTATCTCAGCCGCTTGGAAATACGCCTGCTTCCTACTCTCGCTCTCTCGTTCCCCCTACAAAAAGAAAACCTACACACACACTGGCTAAGCAACCTCATCAGTGTGTGTGAACACAGGCTCAATTTGCCCCTAGCAGACAGAGATCAGACAGCAAACACTTTGTTAACATTTTTATAACGTAACGAAGCACATCCTTTGGTAAAGCCATTTTCCACCCTTGTTCTTTCATTAATAACGCATGGAGCGCATCAACGACTGCTGGGAACATTCTGAAGTGATATATATATAGGGTCAGTAGTCATAAAGACCGAGGGCAAATGTCCTACCTGGCTGCAATGAGGGCAGGACTGTTATCGGCCATGATAACGAATACGATGTTGGGTAAGGGTAAGATACAGTGTACAGACTGAGGCAAGCCTTTCAGAAACCAGGCTGGCAAATCAGCACACAGGAAAGACAGTGGTGGGGGCAGCAGGCTGAGGGAAGACAGGGGCTTCAGGTCAACAGCTTAACCTGTGTTTGACTCCATAGTGAGCAGAGAGCGAAGCTCCATAAGGTAACATCAGAATCTGAATGAAAGGAGATGGCAGATAGATATACTCTGATATAAGCCTCTACTTCCCAACACTACTATACCATTTACATCTCATCTGTTATACTCTGATATACCATGCTACATTCCAAGCTTAAAAAAAAGGGACAAACCGATATTGCACAATATTAAGCTTTGGCCCATTTTTCATGCAGGAGTGGACGATATCATTTGTAGCTCACCTGTTATACACTTTATGGACAAAAGTATTGGGACCCACCTCTTGATCATTGAATTTAGGTGTTTCTTTCATATCAATTGCCACGGGTGTATAATATCAAGCAGCTAGCCATTTGTGAAACATTTGTGAAAGAATGGGTTGTTCTGAAGAGTTTAGTGAATTCAAGCATGATACTGTCATCGGTTGCCACATTTGCAACTTTGAAATTTACTTGAATTTCTTCCTTGCTAGATATTCCATGGTCAACTGCAAGTGCTATTATTGCAAAGCACCAATGCTCTGTTGACACGATAACTGCAGAGTTCCAGACTTCTTTTGGCATTAACCCCAGCACAAAAACTCTGTGCTGGGAGCTTCATGGAATGGCCTTCCATGGCTGAGCAGCTGCATGCAAACCTCACATCACCAAGCACAGCAATGCCAAGCCGGTAGATGCCAGGAGAACGTTACCTGCCTGACTGCATCATGCCTTCTGTAAATTTTGGTGGAGGTGGGATAATGGTATGGGGTTGTTTTTCAGGGGTTGGGCTAGGGCCATTAGTTCCGATGATGAGTTCTTAATGCTTCAGTACACCAAGACATTTTCTATGCTTCCAGCTTTGTGGGAAAAGTTTGGGGAAGGCCCTTTCCTGTTTCAGCATGACTGTGCCCTAGTGCGCAAAACAAGGTCCATAACGACATTGTTGGATGAAATTGATGTGGAAGAATTTGACTAGCCTGCACGGAGGTCTGACCTAAAACCCATCAGGCACCTTCGGGATGAACTAGAATGGAGATTTCGACCCAGGCCTTTGTGTCCAAGATCAGTGTCTGACCTCACAACTGCTCTTCTAGATGAATGTGCAAAAAATTCCCACAGACACATTCCAAAAACTTGTGGAAAGCCATCCCAGAAGAGTGGCAACTATTATAGCTGCAAAGGGGAGACCGACTCCGTATTGATGCCTATGGATTTAGAATAGGATGTCATAAAATGTCCTGTAGGTGTAATGGTTAGGTGTTCCAATAGTTTTGTCCAATATCGTACCTCTTAACTCTGATATATCCTTCTACATCCCAACAGTACTGCACCATTTACGGCTCACCTGTTATACCTCTTAACTCTGATATACCTCTCTACATTCCAGCCTTACTACAGCACTTACAGCCCATCTGTTATACCTGTCTACTCTGACATACCCCTTTATATACCAACACTACTACAGCATTTACAGCCAGTCTGTTATACCTCTCTACTCTGATATACCCCTCTACAATCTGTGCATATCCTATCTTACTCCCCTATGAGAAACACATACGCAGAACAGGATGAAGCTTGAGGTAGGAGCACAGGGTCAGATGTTTATCCGGTACCCCTGGAGCAGCTGGGGTAAAGGTCCTTGATTATTCAGTCAACCAAGGGATTCAAAATAGCAAGCTCTCAGGCATAATCACAGCTTCCTAACCCAAAGAGCCACATACAACCCTATTTCATACCATTTGCTCTCTAGAATGTCCACTTTCGAAAACAGTACTCTGCAATACTTCATAATGTACTTAACTAACAGTAAATCACCAATGCATCTGCTATACACTTATGCAATCTTGTTCTACTACTTATATCTTAAGTGTCATGTGAAAGCACAGAGAACCAGAGAGACATCAGTGAACCATTTCAAAGACTGCAGATCTGGCCCTCTGTCTGGAACCATGGACACAAGCTGTCCCCGCAGGCCTAAATAATAATTCTTTATTATTATTTTTTTCTACTGAGTTCAGTTTCCAGTTAATCTGCTCCTTGGTCGAGGATGACACTATACTGTGCTGCTGTGCGCTTGGCTGTATCAATAATTCATCAGCTAGGCCGAGTGCCCTCCAAGAGGCCATGAGCGAGGATGTGGGGAATGAGCGACGGAGGAATGTATATGAGAGGACAGCTTCCCGGTGTCAGACGGAACAGTGCCACTTCTCCATCAAACCACTTTCATTTCCTATAACGAAGACCCCCCCCCCTCCAGCAGTGGCCTGACCACCACTCTACACAAGCTAAAGCATAATGAACTCAGTGGGGCATCCTGCTAGGTGCATCTCCAGAAACACATAAGAGAGAAGATGCACTCACAACCAAGTTAGGAAAGTCTAAAACACAGAGCTATCTGGCATCTTTGAAAAGGGGGATTTTGAGGGCTAGAAAGAAGGGCTTGCTGGCAAAATGGAGGCTTCTGTATATATATCACAAACCAAACTCACAGCATGGCCTGGTAGGGAAAACAGCAAATCACTGAGCTTAGCCTGACTTCACAATGCACATTTTTGAAATGTATGTGCAAACCTCCTCTTCTTCCTCTCTTTCAACAGAAAAGGAGACGTCCAGAAGAAAAAAATAGAGTAAAAATTCAGTTCCTCTCAACATTTGCCCTTTAAAGCTGTCTGTTCAAGGAAGAGCTGTATGAAATTCTGAGCTCTTAAAGGAGGGGGGGAGGGGGAGTCACAGTGATTAACCACATAGCATGAACTACTGAGGTGGAATTAGACAGGAGAGAGAACATATCGCCCAACCAAGGAGGTCTGGCCCAAATATCTCATACCGAAATTACGAAACATGAGCACATCGGCCTTTCACGTTTCACGTGTCAGGTGCGACCGCTAGCGGGAGGGGAAGCATAGGCCAGGGGCCGCTGACTCACCTAGCACACCCAGCCGGTAGTTCATGGTGACCACGATGACGTTGCCATAGGCGGCCAGGACGCTGGCATCGAACATGTTGCCGGTGCCTTCCATGTAGGATCCACCGTGGATGAACAACATGACGGCCTTCTTCCTGCGGTCTCGGATGTCTTCAGAAATACACACACAGGGGTGGGGGGGGGACACCACAAAAGTCGTGAGTCAGCCACACGGTCCCCTGCGACTTCAAATATCACAGCTCAACGCGGAATTCACCTGTGGCCTTTAAATATGCAAATGGTAACCATGAGCGGGAAGCCTGTGTTTACAGCTAGCTGGCGCGCCATGAAGGGGCCAGCTGTACTTCTGTGACACCTAGCTGAAAGACCAGCAGGGGGCACTAAGCAGCATGATGTTCAGGGCACTATTACGCACAAATGGGGAACAGTGTGGAAGACGTACTTTTCAAACAGTGAGATGTGCAAACAGGCTATAGTACTGTACAACACAGATAATGCAACACCAAATGTTCACTGTATTTTCACAACATGCAAAACCCACAAATTTTAGCAAAGTTGAGGGATAGTGGGTCTAGGGGTCAAACAATCAGGGCTTTTGGCCAATAAAAGACCTACTGTGTGCCGGAACTGTTACTTCACCATGCCCTGACCCATCCTACTCATGCTTGTGTTCTTGCACATTTCTACACAGGCAAAATTCAGCAGGACAGTATCCTTGCAACCTCTTGTGAGTATCTCCTTTATATTATATTCATTTTTTTCATTTCAGAATAAAATAATAGTAAGAAAAAGGTGTCCTTGTACTCTAATCTTCAGTGTTGCTTGGGTTACAAAGAAAACAAAGATGGACAACCTTCCCCGAGGTCTCTTTGGTCAGATGTTTGCTGGGTTGGGTTTCAAATGTAAACCACTTTCCATTTCTGTTCTAGCAAGAAGTGAGGAGCCAAGAGCTTCCTCAAGGATGGTTAGTTCCACCTGTGTGGGGCAGGCGGTGACTCAGAGGGGCAGACATGGGTGGGGGAGCACGGTGGGGTGGGTGGGCGGAGCAGTCTGTGCCTCTTGGGCTCCTGGACACATCCCGATTAGCTGGTGTGTCTGTGTTGTGCACAGACTGTGGATAATTAATACAGCAGTTCACCAGAGCGGAAACTCAAATAACGGACATATCATCTGTTTACCACAATGAGCCAGAGAGGAGCTGGGATGCAGGATGGGTGATCTTAACACACACACACACACACACACACACACACACACACACACACACACATTCAGTCGTGTAATTATATCTTTTTGGGGACCATTCATTCATTTCTATGGGGAAAATGCTAATGCTAACTATGACAACCTTAACCCCTAACCATAACCATAAGTAACCAAACAAAATACAAGACTTTTTGCATTTTTAGTTTTTTTATTGCAGTCATGGATTTTTATAAAATAGAGGAACCTGGTCCCCATAAGGTAAAAAAACAGGCATTCATCACATTGTGGGGACATTTGGTCCCCACAAGGTATGGTATACCCGGACCACAGACACACACACATGTGCACAAACACAGACCACATGCCCCAGATGTGCAGATGCATTTCCAGCCACGCACACATACACACATGTCTGCGCACGCAGGCACACGCAGATGCACAAGCAGCTGCAATGCTGAATCGCCATGGCAACTGCTTCATTTTCATTTTTGCTCTTTCTCTCTCTCCTTCCTTCTCTCCGACAAAGCCACACCAGCCATTCCATCAAATTGACTCAGCCTCGCCGACCGTTGCCATGGAGACACAGTTCACTCACCCATCTCCAACCCCCCCGCCACCCCACCCCAGCGTACATGATCAACACCTCTGTCTTCAAACGTTACCCAAGCCCATCGATAGCCCCATGTTTAAATGGGTGTCAATAGCTATCCACCACTTCTCCCATGAAACATGAAGTGCCCCCCCCCCCCCGCTGTCACCAAATAGGACAACCCCGATGACGCTGCTGTGGTGACTCCCACCCCAATCACCTGACGGCTGTCACGTGGATCGGCATGGCAACACATCCCTGAACACTCCAATGCCAGACTGCCGATGTGTCCGCTTCGGTGAGTTAAGTGGACGACCAGGGAAACCTGTCGCATGCCTATGCGCGTGTGTCTCTGCTGTGAGTGTAAATAATGATTCACAGCATCCCCCAGTGACCCCCCCCCTCCTGGCCACCGGGCTCGGTTACAGCTGCACAGGGGCTCTGATAGATAAGCGCCCCTCTGACTAAGGGATCGCAGAGGCATGCACTGGGGCCGCCCATGCTGGTGATCCCTTCAAGCAGAACACAGACAATGGCTAATTAGTGGGCAACTTTTGTGTTTTGGACTCTGTTGTTTTGCCCCCACGGCAGGAGGCACCTCCCCGAATTCCCCCAGCAACCTGCTTGACGTGCCCTTGCTAATTAATTGCGAATCGATTTGTCACAGGAGCAATGTTAATACCCCCTCCCCCCCCCAGCATGGGTGTATCGGATTTATACCATAGAAACGAGACCTTCACGAACCAAAAGAAGGACAAGCTTGGAAACTGGAGGTCTTTTCTTGCACTAGTCAAGGGGCAGCCCCTCATTGCAGTGGGGGATCCCAAAGGGGGGGGGATCTGTAGGTCAGACTCACGCCGGCCAAGCAGCACCGTCACACATGGAGCTCTGTGTCACAGTGCAGCCTTGGGTCCAGCTCCGAGGGCACTGCGGCACTCCCAGTGTTTAGCTTCACTTCGCTGTTTCTTGCTCAGGTTCATCGTGGCCCTTAAACCCGCTGGAGCAAGCTCACACTCCCAGAGACATGAAATAATGACTTTAATGAGGGTCTGGTGAATGTGGGATGAAAGGGAGGAGTCAAGTGCCTGCCTGCCTTAACACCGAAATGAAAAGTGTTTTTTGGGGGGTGACAGACGAGAGAAAGGATGAACGGCCAAAAAAGTGCTTCATGGAATAAGGAGCCTGAAAATGAAGTCAACTGAGCTTTGGTGAGTGTGAGTGAAAAATTCAGGGTTACTGGGGGGGGGGACAATGTGTGGGTAAATGATGCGTAAATGAGGATTATGTGTTTGTGGAGAACAATGTATGTCATTGTGTGTATATATGTAAGCGGTGTGTTTCTGTGAAGCGGAGGACCTTAGGTGTGTATGTGTGTGTGTTTGTGTGGACAGAGGGGCTCTATTGCATAAGCTTACATGATATCAAAGCTCAGACCTTGGCTTTGGAATGGAGCATTTTTAAATACCTCCCTTGTTATGGATCTAGGGCCCAATCCCAGCATCACACAGGCCCTGCATGAGGGTAGATGGGTTGCAGAGTTGTAGGCCATGGGGCAGGGGCGTGGGGGGTGGGTGTGAGGTGCAAGACCCCATCGGGCCGAGGAACACTGGTCTCTCTTTTTGAGGCCACATCTCAGTGGCTGCCATCCAGCGCGTTTGTGCGGTTCGTAATCTTCCACTGACAATACGGGAGCTTTTTTCCCCCAGGATATTCTGTGAGAGGAGGAACGTGGTGGGGGGGTTGGGGGGTGGGGGGCAGCACACAGCTCCGTTCCATCTAACAAAGGCCTCACTATCTTGACTGCTTCATAACATCACCGAAAACAAGAGCACTTTTGTTTTTTCTTTACCCCTCTCCAAATTGACTTTCCCCTCTCCCTCCTCTTGTTTTTTTCTCCCCATCCATTCCTCCCTCTCTCTGATCTCTCTGTTTGCTTTGGTTTCTCTCACTCTCTCTTCACTCCCCTTCTCCTTCCCCTTGTCCCTCTACGCTCTTCCACCCCTTCTTCTCCTTCTCTATATTTCTCTTCTCTGCCCTCTTCCTCTCCTCCTCTTCTCTTCCACCCTCTTTCTTCTTCCCTCTCCCTCCGTCTTCCTTTCTCCTCTACTCTCTGCTCCACTCTTTATTTTTCCTCCAACCCTCTCCCCTTCCTCTCTCCTTATTTGACTTTCCATACTTCCCCTTTCCTCTCTCCATCTTTTCGATAATCTCCCTCCTCTTTCTTCTTCTCTTCCACCATCTCCACCCATCTTTATTCTTTTGTAATCTCCCTCCCTCTTTTCTTCCCTGCTCAACCCTCTCTCCTTTTTTCTTCTTCTCTCCTACACCCTCTCCCTCCCTCTTTGTCCTCTCCCCTTTTCCTCCCTATTTTTCTTTTTCTCCTCTACCCACTCTCCCTCTGCCTCCCTTTCTTTCTCCTTCTCTCCTCCAACCTCTCCCCCCTCTCCTTCTTCTCCCCTTCACCTTCTCCCCTGTCCTTCCCTCTCCTTCTTCTCTCCTTTACCCTCTCCCTCTCTCCATCCCTCTCCTTCGTCTACTCTCCTCTACCCACTCCCTCCCTCTCTTTATCTGTCCTCCACCCTCTCCTTCTTTTCCTTCTTCTCTCCCACCCTCCCCCCTTTTTCTTCTTCTCTCCTACACCCTCCCCCTCCCTCCCTCTCTCCTCCATCCTCTCTCCCTTTCTTCTCTCCTACAACCTCTCCCTCCCTTTCTCCTTCTCTCTTACACCCTCTCCTCCTTTTCAACTTCTGTCCTCCACGCTCTCTGCCCTTATCCTCTTCTCCTACACCTTCTCCCTCCCTCCCTTCCTTTCTCCTTCTCTCCTCCACTCTCTCCTTCCCCCTCTTTCTTCTCCTCTCCTCCACGCTATCACCCCTTCTTCTTCTCTCCAGTGGCTGGTGCTCCTTTAAGATTCCATAGGTCACAATTATTTCATCTTCCACTTGGCCTCATTATAATTGCTTCCCCCCCTCTTCCTGTCCTCTCCCTCAACTGATTCCTCCCGCTTCTCTCAGCACTTCAGCCTTCTCCTTCTTCCTCTCTTTCATCTCCTTGCCATCGTTACACTCATAGAACCCCCCCCCCCCCCACATTCCTGTCTTTCTGAAATGCCTCCGTTTTGGCTTCTCACTGAGCAAAAATAGCACTGTTAGAGCAGATGACTCCATACATTTAAATAGGGGCAATTAAACAGAGTGATGGGACAAGAGACAAGTGCACACTCCATGCACACTCAATACACAAACTCACATGAGTGTTCACTCACAAACTGAATACACACACGTGTACCTTCACACATTCAATACACACAAGTTACCCGTCAATACTCGATATAAATACAAATACACTCACATGC